GCTCAACAGCCACATATGAAGTACCTTGGGGCTTTTGTAATCACAGCAGATAAAATAAATACGTCAATCAGTGACCATCTTAGTCAGCGCTTAGGTGTTAACAACTGGCTGATTTTAGATTCAACATAGTTTGTGAAGTTGACAACCTGCTGTGTACTGAGAATATAGGGAAGGTACAAATAAATCCTTCATCTTTCAAGGCCTCTGTTTCTCTCTCTGGAACATGCGAGTGTTTACTGCTTGACATCAGCAGACCACAATCTCTACTGTCAAAAAGACAAGATCAATCACTAATCATTAGTAACCGTTTCATATTATTGTCAGAGAAGCACAAGGCTAAAACTAATGATTATTTTCTTTATCTATTAATCTGCTGATTATTTTCTTGATTAATCTATTAACAGTTTTGTCTACAAAACGTCAGAATATAGTAAAAGAAAAAAACCTGATCATAATTTTCTAAAGCCCATGTTGACGTCTTTAAATCCTGTTTTGTCTGAGCCTCTAACCAACACTTCAGTTCACCATCGCATAAGACAAAGACAATAAACTGATTAACTGATTAACGAAAAGTTGCTGCTTACTTTGCTGTTGATTGACTAATCAATTAATCAACTAATTCTTTCAGCTCTAGTGAGGTACACAACATACAGGAGTGTGATGAAAAATCAAGGGTGTTATGGACGCCTGATTTTTTGAAGCGTTTTTTAATTTACACCACATCGTTAAAATTAAAGTAATTAAATAAACTGGATAAACTATCAAAGTAACAAATAAAAGTGTGGTTTTACTGTACATATTAAGTCTGGCTAATTAAACCACATCAACAAATATCACAGAACAGTAAAAATATACTGTAGGTTTGCAGAAACAGATGAATGGTTTTAATTTCCAGCCTTAATGATTTTTATTTATTTTTTTTGTTCTTTTGTGTAAAGGGACTGGGGATTAGTACAAATCATTACTGGGTACACAAACTAATCTAGATGTTTTCAATTAGAAACACAAATCAAACAATAATCACACAGAGAGCAATGATCCACCTACATGAGGGATGCAGTTACTCTGCTCCAACCAGAGAGCTGACAGTGAACATAGCCATCAAGTTTATTCTAGCTGTTAACATCACAACTAAGCAAAACACTGTTACTTAACTTTTAACTTAAAATCACAGACTACATCGTGTTCAAGGAAATGAATGAAAACAGGGAGAATACGTCTTCATTCACCAAATTATTTTAGCTTGACCATGCCTGACAGTCTTTTTTCCCCAGCATACTGTGACAGTTTTACTACATCAGAACGACTCACTCATTAAAAATCTATGACTGATTCACAAACACATCTTGACTCATGGCTTCTGACAGTGAATATTTACTGTGATGATGAACTGTCATTGTCAGGGTGGAGAGAGTGGGAAACTGCGTTGAACACAGAGAGAACAAGGTTTTTCCCATGTATTTCAGGAACAAACCCTATTGTAAATATCTACCCATCCATCCATTATCTAGGGGCTAACATATAGAGACAAACAAGCATTCACACTCTCATTCACACCTATGAACACTCTTTAAAGTTGCCAGTTTACCTATTATGCATGTTTCTGGAGTGTGGAAGGAAGCCGGTGTAGCCGGAGAGAACCCACGCAGGCACAAGGAGAACATGCAAACTCCTATTGTAAATATGTTGTGGATATATGATTTATGGTTTTATTAAGCGCATAAATCTAAATACCGAGCTTCAGTTAAAAAGAGAGGACTTTTATTGAAAGAATATAATCCAATCTCTTTTCTTTTTTGACACTTTGACACAAACTGATACAACAGGGAGTCGTCCCACCCTGTTACTTGCTACGCCAAAATCCCTATGATTACTGTGACCATTTTCTACATTAAACACATCACTAACCATCACACCCTCATCACTGAATCACCTCACATCTGATATATTGAAGCTCATGACCTTTCAGTCTGACAGCTAGTGGGAAAATGAGAGGACAAGTATGTGATCAGACACACAAAATGCTGGAAAATCTTTATGTCCATTAGAAATTAATACAAGTCGTTGGTCAAAAAAAAACTTAAAATCATAAAAAGATTTTTTTTTTTTTTTTTAAATAAAATATCAAATTTCAGGGGATAGAGGAGGGAGTCATTTAACAAGAACATATCTTCAAATTTTGAATACTGCTCATTTGATTTCATATTCTCCTGCCGTTTAAACTGCTGCTACACAACGTCAATGAAACGACAATACAGCACTTTGTGGAGTCACCACCACCCCTGCTACCAAGTAAGTGTAACTGCTGGTTCTAAGTAACGACGTTGTCTGTCTTGTCCAATACTTCACAGTCCAGAGCAAATGAAGACCCAAAGATCACTGACAAATGATGCCAGAGCAGCTTTGTTTCTATTTTTGAGGCCTTTGTGTGACCGAATGGTAATGAGTGGCTAAATGGAAATACTTTCAATTATTACTGAGAGGCCAGATCGGCTTGCACTGCATGACGTGGGCTGTCTTCCTACAAAGCACCTTGAACAGACAGAAGCAGCTTCACTGAGACAGCCAGTCAGCCTGAACAGCTCATTACAGTGAACAAAGATGAAAAAGGAGAGAAACGGCACGATCTGCTTGTGGATTATGAATGAGTCTACAATTGTTTCAACATGAGATTCTCAGTTCTCACGCTTCTGTGATTCGCTCAGGTCCAGTTACATGTAGCCGATACCTGCCCTTGATTGGTCACAGTTTGTTTACTGGGTTTGTTAAAGATGCAGTCTTATATAACATCACCTTGACCTGTGCTGGGTAGCATTCCCAATGGAAATGACAGCTATCTGCTTCTAGCAAATAAAAACAGACAAATAAAATCGGATTACACATCTCTACTGACGGCGCCAGGACAAAGCCGCACTCTTAGTGGTGACTCAATCTGTTTTCAGTTCTCTCCCCTCATGATGTGAACAAGTTAAAAGAATGTTGAGGGGGGAAATATATTGAATCAACTGCAGCCTGCAGAGGGTATGTGCCAGAATGTGAGCCTCTTACACTTGGATCAAGACAAGTGCTGTCCAGCAGCACACGGTCAAAACAAAGGATGAGCACCGTTAACAAATGATGCTGACTCTGCACTATCCTGTCAGTTGGCCTGAAAGACAACCACTTGCAACAGGAAACAGAGCTACAAGGTGTCCAGTTTCCTGCAAACAAGGGGGAGGGGGGGATCAATATCTCTTTATTTAGTTCTGCTTTGCTTTTATATATGATCCAAGTGCTACCAATGATAATTCCCCTTACCTGCCTGTGTTCTGTTTAAACGTCTCATGTAAGGTTCATGTACCCTATATATTTTCTTTGGTACATCCATGCGTGTTCTGAGTGACATGAGTCTATTGTGTGTGTGTCCAAGGTTTCTGCTTGTCTACAGAATGGTATGTGGGCATAAATAAATCATCCAACCTTGTGTCTGTGCGCAAGTCTGACACACATCGTTATACGCTGTGTGTCTGACTTTGTTGCAGCAACATAACTTGTGTGTCCCTCCTAACTACAGAACAGAAGAGATTAAGGGAAAGGTCAGGACACATGGCTCATCCTGTGTAGGCTGTGATACTTAACCTGGCATGTGCCTAATACTAGAAAACATGCACTGCAATATTCTTTGGTTGGGGGTTGCATTTGACGGTTCTGGTTACACACTTCAGCTGAATTTTTGTAGCTACAAAAAGTGTTAAAATGATAAAACATTCAATAAAAAGCTGCATAATTTAAATACATAAAATATTTTAGATGCCAAATATGCAACTCTCATAACCTTTCATTATCTTGAAGTCTTCTCAGACAACAATAAATGTGACCCCTATACAGAACACAACAAACAACTTCCAGGCTCTATACTAAATATACTAATACACAGACACACACATACACAAACACACACAAATAAATAAATACTGACTATTTTAAACTAATTTAAAATTATTCCAGACTAGAAACAGTGGAGTATTTGTGATGTTATTTTGGAATGAGCCTCTAGGTGGAAAAGCTCAAGGTTACTGAATGGCGGATAGGCCAGCAAGGTCATATTTGGTCAAAGATAATTGTACTTTGTAAATCAATGTTGAAAGACAAACATCAGTGTAGGGTATTTAGAGACCATGATGTGTAAGAGCACACTGCTGTGGATGCCAAACACAGACCGTAGACTACAGCTTTCAATGGGTTTTATGTTTTTTTCCCCCTTAGTAATAGATTCAGGAAGAGTACTGTGTATCACTTCCCACACAGCCATGTTGTTATTCAGAGCTGTGAAAAGACTCACAATAATGTAACAGCTACAGTAATATCTTCTAAATTGAGCAGCTGAAAATCAAGAAGTGTAATGTGATGATTTTCTTTGGGATGTGGGGTCATTGGAACATACAAACCAGACAAGGAAAACTAAAATCTCTGTTAAAAATGAATAGCAATAGCTCTCTCAGAACAGCTGTGCAGTTATCGTGCCAACCTGATATGAGCACATGTGCACATATGAGTGTGTACATCTTATAATTATCTCATGAGATAATCAATGACAGCAAGGGGAGTCTCAACTGCTTCCTACTCTTTCTACATATCACACATCTCAAACCCTGAAAAGGGTTTTCACCACAGAGAAAAGGTTATCTACAATCTCCCAAATGACAAAGTTGAATTAATCTGTAAGATGTGGAGGATTTAGACATATGATGCTGCAAGGTCAGTCAAATGTCATTCTTTGGTGCATCAACAGATCAGCTGCTGAAGGCACACATGACTGACATGTATTCTCTAGTGACCATCCAACACATATACTCTATTTTTCACTCTGTGCAATATGTGATACTATATCAGACTACACAGCATATTCTGCCAACAGCCATATGGGTTTGTTTTTTTTTTTAAAAACACTGACAGCCAGATGTAGTGCAATTCTGATTGGTTTACTTCATCCACAAGAAAAGGTTTTCTAAGCCTCTCACCTTGGTGGTGTCATCATGGGAACGTTGATAGCGTTTCCAGCGGCAACCATAGATCCCAGTGATACATGACAAACACAGCTGGCGCTCATAGACCTGGAGGGGTTGGTGTTTCACCATGCTCCTTCAGTCAGTCCTGGTCCTGCCTCCAGAGCTCTAACATCCCACTGACTAGAAAGGATCCTGTAAGAAGATTAAAAAAAGGTTAATGTTGAAGCAAACAACATAGTCTCAAGTGTTTGGGACTACAAAGAACACATTGGGCAATCCATGGAACAATAGTTACTGGAGTAACATGTCCGGCACTTTGATAGAAAACACACACTGGCTGGAGAAGCACCATTCTTTTGAAGCAAAGCCAGGCCTCAAATTAAGACCTTGTTTCCCAGCTCTCGTTTCCAATGACAACTGAGGCTGCTAGGAGCTTTCATCAATATGATCAAGGTTAAATAAAAAAAAACAAACAAAAAAACAAAAAAACAAAAACAAAAACAGAACAGAACAGAACAGAAAATTTCAGTGATCATGAATATATCACACAGTCACTACATATCTGGACCAAAAGGCAGCGAATAGGCGTCATCCCTCCCTTTCATGCCAGGCCAGAAAAAGAAAAGGCCAACAGGTGTAACAAGGATGTTATGCAACAGTGACATTTTATCAAAACCCTTTAACTTACAGTATTACAAAAAATAAAATAAATGAAAATCGGTGCATGCTGTTTTGTACAGGTTTGAAGGGCAAAGTGGCAACTGAAACTGCAAGCAAAACAACAATCCCGCTGTGAGGCAGTGAAGCCAAATGTGCACAGGGCCTTCTCGCCTGCCTTTTCTAGATCCCTCTAAAACTAGAGGGTCTTTTCATCATTTAATGCTTCATCTGAACTTAAGGCTGGTGAGGGTCCGTATCAGGGAGAGAACCTACTCTGGTGCCTGATCCAGCTTCACTACTCCCTCTCAGTGTGGAGGAGCAGCAGAACACTGTGATACTTTTGAAAAAGCCCACAACTCATTTCCTTCATGACTAACGCTGTTGTAGTGACCGCAGTGAGAAGTACCAGGCTGTGTTAGCTGTGAATATTCAGAGTTAAATCTCAGTCTTCCCATTGAGCTGCTGCTGACTCAGCACTGAGACTCTGCAATCAGCTATAATAACAATAATGATATTACAACAGTGCTGACTGTTATCACAAGTTTACCTCACTCTCCGGGGACATGATGGAGCCTGTTGAGCTGTTGCTGCAGTTGCAAAACAAACACCTCAGTTCAATCTGGGGTTGAAAGTGCATCTTGGTGTTATCAAAGCATAAACTATGCATGATTAATGGCATCTCTCTTCTGATGAGAGTCAAACAAACACAATTAAGAGTGTATACACACAAACACGTCTCCCTGGAGCCTTTCAACTGGAGATATTCCTCTTTACTTGCAGTTTGTGAAGCACAGCTAGCATAAGCACAGCTAGCATATGGCTCAAGTCTCATCTGATGTTTCAGAGCTGTTCTGCATGCTAACGATACTCTCCTGCTGTAATCAGTCTGTCTCAAGCGCTGGGCAGCTGCTCATTAGCATCTGCAGCAATGGCCATGTTTCCTGTTATTAGTAGAACTGCTCTGAGGAGGGCGGGCCTGACCCGAGGGTATAATGAACCTGGCCCACCCCAGCAGGACTACAGGGGTCTTTGACAGGCAATGTGCAGTGCTGCTCTGTGCCTCAAAATGAAAAGAGTTAAGAAGAACACTAGCTCAAAAATCTAAACTCTTAAATGACCACAAAAAAACTTCCTCAAAACTTTCAAATATACTCAAAAATTGCCGAATTCAAAGCTCCATTTTAAGTTACAAAGCGTACTTACTATACTGTACTGTGAGGGGGCAATGAGAATCAAAGCCCTGGTGCTAACATGGTTGCTCCAGCGCTTCACCCACTGACTGACAAACTCTGTCAAACTAAACCAGACACAGACCGGATGAATGCAGAGACTCACAGTTTCATGTCCCACTACTGTCCAAATACGCTATGCACCAGTGTGTTCTCAACAATCACCTTATCTTATCTAGAGTCTGCACCAATGTATTGCCCAACCTCTAGCTATCATGCAGCCAGCTTTACCAAGTAACAACACTGCAGTCTGACGGATTTAGACCTTGATCAGATCAGGCACTGCTCGACTACTGGCATGGCTATTATGCTTGTCAGACATTTCCTCTGAATAAACAATGTCTGACGGTGGATGGAGATCACAGCTTTGCGAGCAGTGGTCTGTTTAAGGAATAAAACTGGCAAATTTGGAAAAAAGCAACAGGGCTCTACAGATGGTATTGATACTTATAAACTCTAGGCTCAGGCCTCTGATCAGGGACAATTCATTTTTTTTGTTCAAATAGTGGTAAGACTTATCAAAAGTGTTTCCATTTTTCATTCATTCAGCATAGACTGGAGTAAATAAATAAAGTAGTAACTAAACTTGTCAGACCACTGGAAATTAAAATATATATTAAAAAATCCCATTGACAAATAAATCTAAAAGTTTAAATTAAATTTCTTATTTAATTATTTATTACACAAATCTAAATGACTGGATTAAATGTTTCATATTAATATTGGTTGACCTGAACTTCAGTGACGGTTGAGTATAATCAACAACTCCAAATATTAAGAACAGAAGGCAAATATGAATGTGCGTCTGGGCATGTCTACCAAGCCCTTAAGACAGAAAAACAATCCTGCAGTTGACACAGTGAAGCTGTGTTGCTGCGTTCATCAAGGCAAAGTAACAACCACTTTCAGCCTTGTCATGTTGTCACTTGTTGAAAAATTATAAAGTTAAAAACCTGTATCCACAGCGATGTCTCCATGTTGTTATAGCAAAGTGGTTCATGCGCTTTATGTCGCAACATGTTTACCCCCAAAACCTTGCATTCATGCAGGGTCGCAGCCACTTGTATCCTTAAAGTCAAAAATATCCCATTCACCACTGCTACTTCAGTTGAGCTGCACATCAAAAACCCTTTAATTACAACTATTTGATGTAGGATGTTATCATAATTAGGCAGAGCAGCACTCAGGCTCCAGATTTGTTACCTTGAAATGAGAGGCTCATCCATTTTTTTTTTTTTTTTTTACTTCGTGGTTAATAAGCTCCTACTCTCCTCAAGGGTGTATAAAGACAGATGGAGAACTGCTGCAATTAATCCCTCTATCAGCATGATGTCTTACCAGAAACTAATCAGTTAATATGACCCAGTGGACAATTACATCTTCAATAAACGAGAATGAATTGGCAGAGTGAAGTTAAATACAGCATGAGTGGTGATTTTATTCATCGAAGGCTCTGCAGCTCTACCAGGTTTTGCCAACATGGATGTAACACCTCTGACCACTGTAGGTGTAGAAATGTGACCACTATAAAAGAGTAAGAGCTGTACTGTCTCACACACACACACACACACACACACACACACACACACACACACACACACACACACACACACACACACACACACACACACACACACACACACACACACGAAACAAAAACAAACTGAGCATAAAATACAAAAAAAGACCTTCCCCATGCTTAGTCAGACATCAGGTTCTATAATAAATAGATCCACTGTGACAGCTTTACCTGTCCGATCCTGTCACCTGCACTGTCCCTTCATCACTGAAAAAGATTAACTAAGTGAAATCAACAAGTGATCAAAGCTTCTCTCCACAGGAGAAGCAGCTTTCCTAACATTTCTGTGTCTGTCACAAATTGTCTGAACTTGGGTCAATAAGAAGAGAAGTTATAAGGGGTATATGAAAAACTCCCGAAATGGCTGTTGTCATCTCGTTTTCTGCTGCCTCATTTCCTCCAATCAAAGGCACGGCGAGGGAAAACAGTCTGCAGGGGAGGAAATGCTTCAGCAGTTTCCCCAGCAGAAAGCAGTATCTTCTTCTGACCAGGGAACTGAGGGAGAGGCCAAGCAGCAGAGAACTGTGGGACCGAAGGCCAACCCACTGCTGAGAAAGAAAAGATCCTTAAAGGAATAGTTCACAAAAAAGGGGGGATGAAATATCCTCACTTAACCACCACACTGTCATTCAAAACACCACTGTAATGTACAGAGTGGACCCTTAGCCTTTCAGTATTATGTAATCCTGTACAACAGGCCTTCATTTATTATTGCTAATGTTGTGCAGCTCATAATGTTGGATCACTAACTTTCTCAGGGAGCAATCTGTTCATGTTTATATATAATTATTGACTTTTGACTGAACAGATTCTTTACAAAGGTAATCTTTACAGTAGGCCCACTGTCAAGTGATATTTCACTGATCCTAACCTTCTGTAGTTACACATCAGCCTTCTCCAAAATGACAGAAGTGTCTGATGAAGTATTTCTTTGGAGGTCCAATGAGTGTTTTGGAGGTGTATTATTGCAATATGGGACCAAAACTCACAAATTTTTAACTCATTATCTTGTCCTACAGTGCATGATAAAGTGTCCCAACAAAGTGGTAGACGTGCATGACTTTTGCAGACTCAGTGACGCAGGTCACAACGTAGATTTATGTGTAAATTATGTGCAATGGCCAAAATTAGACGCAAACACCTTGGTTACACTGAAAGTATAAACAACATGGAGTAATCTTGTCATAAACAAACCTGCAGCACATTAAGGAATCTATTCAGTCTTCTGAAAATGGGCCTTCATTTCATCTGTTCATGACCCCCATCATGTCTGAATGATCTGAACTGCTTATTGAGATGTGCAATGGATACCAACTACCGAGACTTGGCTGAACCATGTGGCAACACAAGATGCCTGTGAGGGAATTGATTAGTGATACAAAGGTGATAAAACCCATTATAACAAGCAATGAGAGAGTCATTACATGAGAGCTGTTAGAGCTGGTTCAGCACTCACAGTCGAGAGCTCTCACTATAGAGAGACTGGGCAAAATTTAAAATTTTGTGATGACGGATATATCATCCCCCAAGCAGTACTCTTGGTAGTAAAAACGCACACTACACTCCTCTTCCACTGTTTAATCTTAACAAACCATTGTTGCTGCTTTCTGTAAAATAACTCCTGTCACTTCCTGTGCTCTGTAGGACAGACCAGCAGAACCAGACTCCTATGTTTAGATCAGTAGATGTGCAGGCTTTTATAAACTGGCCATTGATTCAATTAT